CCTCACTTGAGGACTGAAACAGATCCAGTTTCTGAAACATTGTGTTTTCTATTTTCTAGAAAACCGGACAATGGAAAAGTCTAAAAACCCAGTAATTCTCAGTCCTTCAAGCAGAAGTTGTGAACAAAAGTTATGAGTATTAAAATGTTGTGCAATCAGCCATGTCAATTTTGAGTTAAAAATCGACATTTCAGATATCTCCTCCTTCTCCATCATCAAGGCCAGTGTGTTAAACTGGCATATGTTGCTGATACATATACCAGTCTCTCAAATCAATACATCATCCTATTGGTGTACTGCAGCCATGTCAAACATGCGGCCCCCATAGCCGCAAAGTGCGGCCCCTCAACTTTTAGAGCTAATTGATGTTAAAATCAATATTAAAATTTTAGTAGAAATATTTTCTGTAAAGACAATTTTCCAACAGACCAGAAGACAAGAAGTCTCACGTAGACATAAATTAGCAGGCTGCAGGAAATTCAATGTTTTGCTATTTCTAACATAATTTCTTGTGTAATCTCTCTTTTTACATATTGAAAAGCTGTTTGATACTTGTCAAAAATGGCATTCTCTTGCTTTTTAAAACTGTAAGATATGTGACTTTAGGTAATTATATTGAAATTATTCCTAAATAATAAATAGAATTAAATTTCCTTGTATCAAAATCTAATGTATATTTCTATTTTGAAGTGCGGCCCTGGACTATTATTTATAGGGCTGAGGTGGCCCTCTGTACAAGTTGAGTTTGACATGCCTGGTGTACTGTGTGTCAAAAGGGGAGAGTTAGATCATGTTGTCATCCATCCAAATCTAAAATTTTATCTTCTTTTTAGCATGCTATTCTCTGTGTTTTCCTCTTGTGTTTTCTTGATTTCTTTGCTCTAGGTGTACTAATTTGAGTGCCTAAAAGTTGTCAGGAGAATTTGATTCCTTTTTTATGCATTGGAGTGCCCTAATAATCTGATATTGTGGTTCAGTGCTTCGTTAATTTTTAGTCCTTTCTATCTTTGATTTTGTTTGTGTGTAGTTTCATTTTTGTTGCTTCTTTGACAAGTTGGCACACTGTGTAAGTTGGATAGTAGTTGACCTTTTCACAGAATGAACTCTAGGCAGTTTCTGCATGATGCCATGTGTTATGTCCACTTTTCCCACAAATAGTGTTAGTATGTGAACCATGCTGTAATTGGTTCAGATGAGTGAGGGTCATAGGAACTGTGTGAGAACTTTCATGAATAATTTAGATGATTTGTATGTATGAATTTAGATCATGCTGGTGCATGTTTAGTAGCATATCCTCCTCTTTACATTGCACATGAGTAACGTTGAGCTATGTATCTAGATTTAGTGATCTGTGAATCTCAGTATTTCACCATCCACACATCTAGAATTTTAATACCTTAACTTCTTCCTCTGTTGATGAACAAGCTTTATCTTATGCCTGATCGAAAAGCACGTCATTTTGATGAGTATGTTATTCACCCTCGACAAACCCATACCTATTAAATTTGTTGATGAAATACTGTTCCCAGATGTCTGCATCTCTTCTTATTGGTCTGCTGTTCAAAATTCCCATAGTGTTGAGAAAATATTGTTTGTATCTTGCTATAAAATTTCTCTCAGCTTGTCCTCTGTATAATTTGTTGCACTGATTATATTTAATTTTATATGGTCACGTGTATGAGTGACTATAGAAGGGGTTTGGATTGGATTCATTGCACACTTGCTTATCATAGCTACAAGTAATTATAACGCTTTCACTAAGTCATGCTCTTGTCTTCTCACTACAGCACATACTATGTCTTCTCAGTTTGTTTTCATTAGCTATTTCCTGGTAACAGATTTCCTCTGCTTATGTCCTTACTGGTAGCAAATCTCAAAACTGACTCTCAGGCTGGCGACCATCTCACACCAAACTCTTACTCTTCTGACTCACTGCTCCAACTAAATATCCTGGTTATAACATCTTGGCAGGGACCGCGTAGAAAACACCTCTCCTCATTTTTGTAGTTCAATCATTACCATGGGAGTATATTTGTTTGTGAAGCCGTTACTCAGCAACGGCTGCCGCATATTTGCTTATTCCACGGTCGTTGCGTAGCAGTTGGCGTTGTTTATAGAGTCATTACTTAGCAACGGGCCTACATGCTATAACATGTTCCATTTTCTTTGTATTCATCATCTTTCTCTTGCTACACAGCTCAGTCTTCTTTCTGGTTTGTTGAATGTGTATATACAGGTTCTGTGTGTGTTCATGAGTATATTCCTTACTGCACTTGTTACTTATAATAATATTACGTATAATGACTCAATATGATTCTAATTATACAGAAATTATGATATGGAAATGCTTAGAAACAGTTCATTGTTAATCAGTTGCTAATAATATTTATATTACTGCAGAAGGAAATTAAGGCTCATTTAGGTCCACTTCAAGTAACAGTTTTTTCTTTATGCGTTTATCTTAATTGTACAATAATTTTCCTCCTTACATTTCTAAACAATGAGTCATATGATCTATTCCATATTAGAAAACCAACAAGAACTGTGATGTCTGGTCTCTAGGCTGAAATATGAAGCCACTCTTCAAAATATGATAGATGAGAGTGTTACACATTCAAACACGACATTCGTTAGAAAATGGTATCAGGATATCCAGAGCGATATTAAAGGAAACCTGTATAGGAGTAATTGTGATGAATCACATAAATTCAACAATCTTGGGGTATCACCAGCTAACTTATTGCAGTGCAGAAATTTGAGATGTAATGACTAGTGATACCACCACTAAAGCACCAATACTGTTTGTTCTCACTATCCATTTTGTGATTTCATATTTCAGCTTCCAACTAACTTCAGGAGGGTTCGGGGCAGAGTAATGTTCCTATATCCTTTACATGCGAGTCATGTAAACGTGTATAAATAACGTGGGGCTTGTATGAAGAGGTGCAAGGAAAAAATATCATTCTCTTCTAAGAACCCAAGTTACATCATATCCTCTACAGGAAACCTTACCCAAGAAGGGTCCCGTGAAAATATGTCTGAAATTCCCACCGGTGTACGAATACCAGATAGAGGGTGTCACGTAGTCAGCGCAACGAATCCCCACGGCAGTTAATTTCGTTTTTATAGACCGGAGCCGCTATTTCCTCGAAATATCTCCTCAATTATCCCCACGAGGCTGAGTAGTTGGCACTAACTTCGCCGACAAGCGGCGGTCGCTCGATCGGTATGGTTCGCTTGCGAACTCAAGCCACGGAGTTTTTGTTTGTTTGTACGAATGCCGGAAGTATGTTGAAAACAGGATGTAGTAACCTCCTAAGGATGAAACAATCTGCAGGTAAGGCGTTCCTGTTCCCAGAATAGAATGTACAAAATTAAGTATACAAAGATATACTGATCAAAGGAATTTTTTTAGAGTGGACCAAAAATAGATACATGACAACATATGCAGTATTCAGAGGCAGAAGTGGAAATACGTTTGCATACTGGACCTGTGCAACAAACTCGAAAAAAAATAAAATAAAAAGAAATAATTTTGAAATACTGTCGTAATTTCGAACAATGATCACACTCTACGCCACACGAAGACGTCTGCTCATTCTCCTCTTGCTTCTCTCGCTGATCACTCATCTGATCTCCGCCCTGGTCTTCTCCCATATCGACGTCTTCCTGTCGAATCTCCTCGAACAGTCTTCACTATTCCCTATACAGAATGTTTCACGACTTTAGGGCATAACTGCAGGAGGTGATTTCCTAGATCTTTGTGATCAAAAAAGTTCATATAAACATGTGTCAGATTTTGGACGTTTACGGAGTTATGACCGCTTTTTCATTCCCGTACATGCCCTCCTGTGAACCGCGTCTATCATCTGACGGGTCGCTATTTTTAGCCGGCTACAGACAGAGTGTTCTCGTTATCTCGGAACTTGAGAGGTACCTAAGGCGTGGTGGGTTGGTATGTCCGGCGCGGTTCACAACCGAGCGGCAGCCTGTGTTGCGGCCGGCGGTGGCATTTTCGAAAATCAGCTTTAAGCACCAATAAATTCAAATTAAAGGTAATTTCACGAAGTCAACTTTACATTAATACTTTAAATATATCATGTATTATGCTGGTTTATTACTTTGTTCCGTTTATTGTCAGTAATCGTTACTTTCTATTCCGAGTTTAAAACGGACATAACTCCGTAACCGTCCAAAATCGGACATATGTTTATATGAACTTTTTTGATCACAAAGACCTAGGGAATCACCTCTTGCAGTTATGCCCTAAAGTCGTGAAACACCCTGTATAGGCTCGGCCCGGACCACCCACAGAAAAAAACATCGCTGCTCAGCAACGGATATAATGTACTCTTGTCAGACGTGTCCACCCATGCATTGCCTAGCAATGGACGTCCTATTGTTGCGCATTCGTTGCTTGAAACATGTTTACGTGTTCGTCTCCTAGAAATGGCCCAATCTGTCACAATATAAACCACAGAGCAAGGCATTCCACTTTAGAACTGGGTGAAATATGTTTAAATTGAGCCGGGAAATTGAGGATGGCCACGAAACGCCTTATAGATAAAAAATGTGCTCCTATTCTTTACTGTCTTATTAACAGTAACACACGTACGAATATTTTTTTATTGTAGAAAGAATTATTGTAAATGCAAGAAAAGCCTAGCCATGCCCATCCGGCCTTCTGTAGCACATTCTTATAAACATCTTATTCTACAGTAGCGGTAACCCCGCGGTTCTTAATATACGTATATCTAAACTTAAATCTGGGCCGCGCCATAGCTCAAGCGGTTAGTCGCTGGCTTCCCACAGCGGCGGCCCGGGTTCGATCCCGGGTCTGGTCAAGTGGGATTTGTGGTGGACAAAGTGGCGCTGGGGCAGGTTTTCTCCGAGTACTTCGGTTTCCCCTGCCAATCTTCATCCCACCAATTGCTCCACAGTCACCCTCACCTATCATCTGAGGCTGGTACACTAGGCCAGAAGTTGCCGCAGTACAAGGGACTTAGTCCAACCCCACTAGCATTAAAAAAATAACTTAAATCTGAGAGTCTCCTGTTAATAAACTGTACAGTTACTTCTTTTGCTTTTCTTACATATCTATTTTATATAATTATAGGAATGTTGGTTATGAAGTAACAGACGCCTTGCAGAAATCTTTTTCCCTCTAGCTTTAAGAGCTCTGTAATTTACTTTTGGTATTCTTTTTCGTTGTTCTCAGAGAGATTGTGCATCATGATGTATGAATAAATGGAAGAATCGAAGTACTGCACACTAGTGGTGACATTTGGAACTATCAAGTATGACGTAATGTTCAGTTCGTATGTATAATTGCTTCCGCGACCAGTGCAACCCGAGTTGTTCTTGTAGGTTAAACACTGCGACACAAAGCATAGTTTTGTGTCGTCAAATAAGCGCATAACTTAACGGTGTTATAAAATTTTGTGAAATGGAGAAGAAAGGTTCTTGTTATAAAAATCCTCTAAGAAAAAACAAATTTAACTTACATCGTAATGCTCATACTTGAAGTTAACCCAATTCTGTTGATCATTTTTATATGATACGGACTGTACCAGTTTTCTTCGTGAAATACGTACGTGGCATTCGGATAAGGTAAGATGACCGTTTAAAAAATATTTTATGTATATTTTTCCACCCGTGTCGAGATGCTGTCTCGTGGCCCTTTCCTCTGGAATTGAGTTCTAATTTGCAGGGTTGGATAAGCCAGGAAGCCTGCACGTTAGATGATCTAGACCAAGTTAAATTACGTCAGGGTTGTCCAAGCTGAAACCAGTAAGGAACTGCAATATAGATCAGATTCCTACACGTGGGCCGTGTTGTGATGCACACTTTCTAATATACCGATACCAATATCTGCCCTGCTATGATGAGATCAACAAAGCAGAAGAATGCGAATGACAATCGAACACATAAAACTTAAAAGGCATGTACCGAGGTCGCCTCGAACTTTTGAAAGAATCGAAAAATGCGGAATATCCCCCCCCCCCAAATGAAGGACAATTTACAATGTGTACGAATTTATTAATAATAGTGTATAATGATACGTATATACGTAAGTAAAGACACATTTGTCCCTGCGCTTAACTAATTTAGCACTACGCCATCAAGGCGTGTGGGGGAGTGGATGTATAGATCCATACTTTCTCGACCCCGTCTCTAGTTGGAGGTGAATGGTCAGCTTAACTCCCGTGCCGCTTTACCCCCGGGGAAAGAGCCATTGGTACCCACTGGATAGGAGGCTGGGTGGACCCAAAACCGGTCTGGACGACGTGGAAAAGAGAAAATTCTTGGCCCTACTGGAGGGATCTCCGATCCTTTGGTCGTCCAGCTTATAGCCAGTCGCTATACCGACTACGCTATCCCGGCTTCCCTACATATATGAATCAAAATGATGTCTGCTAATTTAACATAAAAATTATGGTTTTCTGTTTTCGGGTTTTTGAAATTTCTTAATAAAAATAAAAATTTAAACACG